AGGGCGGCATTGCTGCCTTGCTTAGGGCAGCAGCAAAGGTAAATACACCGCTGGCCAACAGCGCTTTACAAAATGGAGGGAGACAGTGATGTTATAATACAATTCAATGCAGGAGGGCCCTGCTTGTAAGAGCTTACAATCTAGTTGGAGGAGCAAGTGATGCAAAAGGTAACAATTGTGTGGGATGAGTTAATGGAAGAAGTAAAAGGCCAGTTATTATGTTGAGGTGGCATAGGCTTCCCTGAAGAGATGTGTTTTCCAAGATCACCTAAAGGGGGACAGAGTAGGAGATAAGTGGACAGGTTGGAGTAGAGGGTTTCAGAGGATGGGAGAGGCTCTGGAGAAGTCCTGTGTCACAGCATAAACTACCTAATAAATACTTTTTTTCAAATTAAAATTGATCAGATTGGGCCGATGCTATCGTATTTAAGCCAAGAAATATATGTACATTTACAAAAATGTATTACACATGCCATTTACTTGATGGCAGAATATAGTGTTGCTGGCGCTGCCCGGGAAAATCCCTCTAGTTTTTAAGTCATCTCCCATGCATGAAATGGTGATTTGCCCATGTCATATAAACATGTCATATATATGGAAGGCTCTAATTATGCTAAATGTTATTCCCTAAAATTGTTTTTTGCATTGGTACCACTGCTCCATGGCTGCACCGAGCTCCCCATGCCCTTTGTTTGACCATTCGAAACTGGCCAGAATTTATTTCAAGATTTGCCACCCATTGACTTCAATGGTGGATTCAATGTCATAGAGTCGCACTCATGAACATTGGCACATCACTAGTTAGAGGTTTTAGTGAACTTAAGTGGATTTTAAGTGGATACTACTTGAAATGTTTAGAAGTGTTTGGTGCTCTCCATGGTGCTGATAAAGGCTCGCCGCGCAGGTTAATGTTTTACATTGTGTATTTTATTAAATACAATTCCATTGTAATGCCAACTGACATCTGAGTCTTGGGAAAGAAATATCAACAGGGATTGATAACTAAATTATTTACTTTTAGTAATTTATCAACTCGGCAACTTATACTTGAATATGTTTTATTTAGTTTAGTTCAGTTCTAAACTCCCGGCATATCCTCTCCTATTATAACATCAGCAGTGTAATAGGAACACATACTGGAGTTGTTTCTGATAACACAATCAAAGCTTAGTAGAATAAATCCCTTTTATGTAGTGAGTGGTGCCTTCCATCTGCCCGTCTCTTCCATCTTCCTGAATTCCCAGTGTGCATTGCGTCTCTTTCCCTGCTGCTTGATGATGCAAACTCTATTTCTCAGGACCACGTATCCCATCATGCATTGCTTCCAGCAAGCAATGATAATGTTACATTGTTCAGACATCGACTTGTAGCTCCAAAGGCAGGCAAATGCATATTTACAGGCCTGAGTGAAATGGTATCGGTGCATTGAGGAAGTACATACTATGGACATCTTCAATTAGTAAGTTTACAAACTTCTAGATGGATCTGGTGATTAGGAGCGGGATAGAACTTATGGAAATTCAATATAGAAATACAGATTTATTTTTATTTTTTGACCATGGATACCCTTTAACAAAAAGTGTTCCTGTTGATGCACATAAACTGGGGTGAAAATCCTTTGATAGACTACAATCTCACATTTAGTTTTGATCCCCATAGTTCTCTTAAGGGTCACGGGAGGACATAAACTAGCATCCTCCCGTCACCCAAAGCTCACTATATAGTGAGCTACAGCTCGCAGTATACTGAGACTGCCGCAGCCGGGACGGATCCCGGCAATGCTGTTGAGATCCACCCAGCTGCGTGAGTGACAGCTGGTTCTGCCTGTCTAGAGGCAGAGCCAGCTGTGCCCACCCTCTCCCCTGTCCATTCCTCCAGTCAGCGCTGGAGGATCAGAACGGGGAGGGGGGAGGGACAATCACGGCTCTTTGCAGGGACATGATCGAGAAGTGAGCGAGCGGCGGTATGTGTCCGCTCACTTCCCGATCTATTGAGCCGACATGTGACAGTTTCATTGTCACACGTTGGCTCGAACTATGAGGATGAGTGATTTACACTCACCTGATAGTTCTCCTTTAACTCCTGAGTTTAGTGTCACAACCTTGAAGCATAGAGACTAATAACATTACATGCACAGGAAGGAGTCCAACTGATCTGATTGCAATTACAGCAAATTATAGTTTCTTAAGCAATAGAGATCTATGACATGTATTTATGGTGGGTAAATGTTAAGATGCCACAAATATAAGGATGTACAGCTGTTTCATACGACAACTGGACATATAGGG